GCTCGAGGAGAATCTGTGCAGTATTATTCAATTCATAGGAGTGAAAAAAGGGAAATGAACACTTAATTTAATATGACATAATAAAAAAAAAATCCCCACCAGCGTATGCACAGCTTCTGTCCAAGTATTTTCTTTTTGTTGTGGATTTTTGTAACGGGGATATCTAGGATCATCCATGGTTTTCATGAACTATGTTTGTTCTCTACCTCCAAACTCAGCATCTCTTCATCCAAGCCTGCAATAAGAAGTTTGTTTTGAAGTTGTGAGAGGCGCTCTTGGAAGACTAGATTTGGTTAAACTTTTAAGCCTCCAAGAAATCGTCTTCCTGGTATGTTGAAGAACCAATAGTTTGCATCCAATATTTCATTAAACGGTCTTAGTTTTTGGGAATATATAGGAATTTTGCTCTTATATGTAGATACCGATCTGTCGTTACTATATTTTAATTTGACAAACCGGATCTTCACGCTTTTTTCCTGTTTGGTGCAGATCTTGACCTGGCCAGAGCGGAGAAAAAAATGTACTTTGCTCCGTATTTTGACGGTGAAGGACGGAGAAGACGTACGTGGACGGTGACATGCGGAGGAGTATGGGTGGATGTGGATCAGCTCTCGTGATTAACATGCTCCTCGTATGGAGGACGTGCGTGGCCGAGCGCTGACAGAGGATGTGGAATCAGGGGGTTAGCTTAGCTTGTCTTCGTTCCCAATTCTCCAAATGGAACAGGGAGCTTCTGTGCTGCTAAATGTATGATTTGAGAAGGCCTCACAGCAGACTGGGGCTCTACCTTAGCTGTGGTGTAGTCCACCACCTTCTTGGTGGTCAAGTCACACTTGTTCCCCACCAGCAGCTTGTTGACGTTCTCGCTGGCGTAGCGGTCGATCTCCTGCAGCCACTGTTTGACGTTGTTGAAGGACTCCTGAGAGACAGAACACAGAGCTGTTAGCAGGTGGTTCCGGTCCAAACATGCAGACCAGTGTGCTCCCATAAGGCTACAGTCTGAGTCAGTTAAGTTCTTCAAAAACATGGCTGGGGAGACGAAACAAACTGCATATTAATGATATGAGAGGAAGGGGAATAGATTGCTCTTGATGATGCGCCATCCCGATGAAGCCATCAGAAACAGATGCTACCATGGAATTTTGCGGACAACTGTCCGGTCATCTCATCCTCGGTTGGCATCTGCTGGACTTTAACGGGAGCTTCATACCGGACGATGAGGAGCTCTGGACTAACCTGGTCTGTGACGTCGTAGACCACAATGATGCCATGTGCTCCTCTGTAGTAGCTGGATGTGATCGTCCGGAACCTCTCCTGGCCCGCTGTGTCCCACTGTGGAGAGCAGGACATGGAGAACATCAGAGACGGTTTTTTTTGTTAAACCTCCCTAAGATCTGTTAACCAGATCCACCAGAACATGTTTATCCCTCTTTTCTCTACTCAGACTTTCTTCTTCTCCATCAGGCCCAACATCTGTTCTGCTCCATCACATGTTCATCTGAGGATCCATGGCGCCCCCTAGGGTGCACCACCACAAATCACATCTTTAGGCGCCAGATTCATTTCAGTTTATTCTTCTATAGATTTACGGCAATTCTTGCTCCATCCAAACAGTGACGTTTTTGACAGCCATCTTGAATTTAGTCAGTGGCCGTTTCTTAATATGAGTACTTGTGCGTTCTCATGTACTCATGAGACGTCATCAGCCTCAGCCCTAGTACTGGTCCAGACTGAGAACGGACAAAGTCCCTGGATGTTGTTCTTGTACCTCCCTCTTTACCCAGCATGCACTGCTGCAGCAGCAGCAGCTTCCAGGTTAGCGCTCACAGAGTATTAAGATATAAGTTCTCGTTTCTGTTGCCATTGTTCAATAAAAGTACGTTTTCAGATAATTTGACGTGAGAACATTATAAGCGTCACAATATCTTTACTTATATAATGATGCCAGAAACGAAATTTCAAGATGTGTAGAAGCTCTGCAGCCTCATTCCATCTGTTCAATAAAAAAACATGTTAACCTGTAAGTGGGAGTCATGGTCCTCTGAGACGCCCGGATTTTTTTAACTAGTAAAGAAGAACAAACTATGCGTTCTTGCATTATAATACTAACTTGTTTAAACTTACATCCTGTTGCCATTTTTAGCTGAAAAAGCTCCATATGTCACACAAACTGATTTTTCGGCAGCATCTCTAATTTTTTGAACCTCCTATCTGCTGGTTAATATTCACTGAGTGCTGCTGTGTGTCTCTCCTTCAACCACGTAGCTACTTTGTACAAATGCGACGGCAAATCAGATGTCTCAAAGCGACA